CCTATTCTATATATAACTTTTCTTCCTTTCTTGATTTTAACCCTAACTTTCAAATAAATTTTAAATCACGATATTTCATTTGTTTCTAAATGACTATTTTACATCCGAAAATTTGTCTTCTACTATTAAATCCATCAAATTGAATGATGAACATCTTCCGTAATGAAATCTGGAATTCCATATTTTTTAAGTAAAGCTTAACAAATATTACGTAAAAATGGTTTTCCATCATATTTATTGACATATTAATCATATATAAATATGCGTAAATACAAACGAATATATTAGTTGGATACCGTTTAATAAAAAAAACAATATTGTATGAAAATGGAAGAAAACTTTGAAAACTTACGCTTTTGTAATCAAAGAATAATGATAATTTTAATATTCTTATATTCTTTAATAAACTGTAAATATAAAAATTTGAAATTTATTTATGAGAAGTTCAGATCCGTTAAAAAGGATATTAAGATTCTTTTGTGCTAGGGTCTTATACCTAACAATGAGTAATGGCTCATAAAATCATGCCATAAAACTTTGCATATCCTTTTATTATCGTGAATATTAGCTACTTTTACTCGACTCATAAAATTATATTTTTATGATAATTTAACTCATCATCATTTTGAAATATCGTTTATTTTATACATTTTTATAATTGTAGAATAGAATTTTCAATAATATTTGGCTGAAAATTAACGTAAAATCAAATATTTATTATGACGAATTATGTGTTTTTTAAGAATATATAATAGCAATAATCCATTACGTACTTAAATCACTAGGTATCAATTAAAGAATATACAAGAAGTTTAACATATTTAATATTAAAAATAACTAAAACAAACAGTATATTTGTTTTTATTAATTAGACCTTTAAACAAAATCTTTTTATAAAATATAAATAAAAACAAAGACCTCCAACCATTTATCACTTTAAATAATACCAAAATAAAAAACATAATGCTAAAATTTTAATTTAAGTTACCTGGCCTTCCGCTTGTAGCTATGGCCAGAGAAAAACAAAAAAACTGTCTTTATTAATTAATCTTTGAATTTAAACTTGTATTAAACTTGTACAGTAAGTATCAAGGTGCTCAAATTTTTAATTCAGAATTTATTTAATTCCGTAGTTCTTATGTAGCCCTCCCAACAATATACATATGTATGTTATAGTTACTTTTGTTGGAATTCTGCATCACTTGACGTATTGGATTACTGTGAGAAAAAATATAAGAGTGTTAATATTTGGCATTCTTGTATTCGTATAAATATGCGAGTACATAATGGTCTGCATTTATTAAGAATACTATTATCAGGAACGCTTTGTTCTTGACTAAGGTCCATCTCTCAGGATTTCAAAGAAAGCACGTGAATTGTTGTCCAAATTCCGTATTACGAGTAACTCCTACTGCTCGAACGGCTCTAGTATTTACCTCTAGAATCGTTTACCGTCATTTCTATTTATTCAAATCAACACTTAGTATCACTGCACATGAAGCAAGTGGCTACGCAAGTGCATGTGTAGGTGTCACGTGTGGTTTATAAAAGTAAATGCTTGTTTTCTTTCTTAAATTTCAATCATTTAAAATAAAAATTTTAAATAAAAAAAATTATACCCGTATATAATATATACCCGTATACATAAGTAAATGTCATAAGGGTTGTGAATTAATATATTATTGCTTATAGTCTATTGTGGTATATATAAAATTAGTTAATAACGCTAGCACAACCCGTTTGGCACTAAGATCTCAGTTCTGATCAGGAAGACACCAGTGCTTAAACACTCTAGTAGCTGGAAATGATCTCTTATGAAAAGGTATCAATGATATATGGGAGTGTTATTTTTCAAGTCAATGGAAAACAATGGTCTAAAAATCTGCTTCGGCTTTAATTCGTTACTCTTTAAGTTGTTTGTTATGTTGAAAATAAATTATATGTAAATAATATCATGCTATGACAAATATTACGACAAGTTATCATAATCAATAGTAATGTTTGTCTCAAATAAGTTACTATTTACAAGTCTTCAAAATAAAATACAAATATTTCTTTTTGTGTTTTTTTTTTTTTGCAATTGTATTGCAAATATAATGTCTAATAAAAAGTTCTTAGCGCAACCTTACACTTGCGATGTAGGTAGTACTTACACAAGTCATCAACCATTTACAATATTATAAATAACATAAATATTTAGAACAAATAAGAAAAATAAATTTTTAATTACCTTACTTTATAAATATTTACTTTATTTAATCATCGGGATATACATACATATTTGAAAAATTTTAAATCGATATCTTTGTTTTTCAAATATTTAATTACAGTATCCACAAATACTTTAACATAATATACTTTTATTTATACCAGTAATTTAATAATAAATTCTTGACATTGTTTAATTATCTTTCAGCCCGTTTGCCTTGATGTATCAATACTGCTATCTTACTGTAGAATAGAAAAGGATTACTATAAATATTTTTGAAATACAAATTACAATATAAAATAATAATAACAATAATTAATATACATACACAGAACGTGAGTTTGCTAAATTCAATATTTACTGTATAAATAGGTATTTGATGTACAATCACATTATTATAATCAAATAAACTGGAATGAGAATCGAAAATAATTTATTGTGGATTCAAATAACATTTAATTAATCTTTTGAACGAAAATTTTCATAAATGTTTGTTTATTATGTACGACTGTATTTATGAAAATTTAAGAGTTTTTTTTTGCCGAAATAACAGCATTAATTTTTAAAATAATACAATTGATTACCATTTATATATTTTCCATTATAATGTATCTAATTATAAATGACAAGGAGCCTCCGTATGTAGTTGAATAAATAAATGTAATTAAGTCATTCACTGAGAAAATTTTGTAAATATTTTCAGTAATCTATTAAATATTACAGAGCTTTCATCTCTTAATCGAATAATATTACAAAAAAGATATTTTTTAAATTCCAACTCTTAAGACCACGCAAACGAAATCCCAAGCAAAGACTGATATTTATTATAATTATATGATTGACATCAATTACTGTCGTCTTTATAATTTAAGGTAACGAAAACCACACAATTGCACTTAATAAGATGAAACTTTAATAAAATATTTAGCAAATATATTCCCTATGTAACTACTAATTGTAAAACAATTTTACAAAGAGTGTACTTTCTTCTTAACTTGACATCGTTTCTCGTGATTTGATGTCTCGCGATGATTTTTATTAAGAGATAATTTAAGAAAGTTATTATTTATTTATATTCATAATTGGTTTTATTTTATGTATTTATATTGCAGCAAAGAAACCTTCACCGTCTTTCAAAAATATTCATTCTTGCAACTGTATATATCTTTTTCACAGATGAGTAAGGAAAAATAAAACTAATTTAACGGTTAAATAGTAGTGTTTCTATCACTGAGAATCAATTCCATTGGGATGTTCTATTCAGGTAACGAGATAAAAACTTTAACCATAACTCTGTCACCAACTTACAGTTTATTCTATTATTTCAGTTTGTTTGTTCTACTTTGTGTTTGAGATGATTTAAAGTTACAGTTATGCTTACATTCAATTTATGAACATTGTTCTCATCGATATATCTGTCTGTAAAATAAATTAATATCCCAATATATATTTTTTAGAAAGATTCAAAGGAAAAGTAGTTCAAGTTTTTAACTAAAACCATTAAGGACCGAAGTTCCTAGTACGGAAAAAGCCAGGACATTTTTTTATGCTAAAGCGGGCAAACTAGCAGACAGCCAACCTGATTGAGGTAGTATCATCGCCCATGGATATCCGAAACATAGATCTGCGGATGTTGTCGCCCTTGATTGGGAAAGAGGGGCTGGAAAACGTGATAAAGGGAAAAAGGAAAGGACAGGAAAGGGTGGGAAAAGGTAAAGGGCAACCGGCTCTCTCACTTATCGGACGAAGGCAGCTATTGAAGATTATTTCACGTCGATCTTCTATGAGAAGGTGGTACTTCCCCAGTCGAGCCAGCCCGAGTTCGAGCTGCAATAACTTGACCACAGCTAGGCTCTACCCCCTCGTAATACCGCATGGTACTTTTCCTGTTGTTTAAGTAAACAAAATTTTTAAATTTCCATTAAGAATCTTTTCTTGATATTAAAAACATTTTTTACAAATATATTTCTACGTACTTTCTACAATGTATTAAATTTGGACTGACAAAAACATTCACTTTTTTAGTTTTTACCTTTAAATCAAATTATATATTTTTTATTCCCTTTAAATTATATAGGTACTTTATATTTTTTTATTCCCTTTAAAAGGCTTTTTAAATTGTTTAGTGTAAGTCTTGAACTTACACTTTAGCATTTTTAAAAAATAATATAAATAAATAAATATTTATATATAAATCAGGGTTAATCAAGTTAAACAAGTTCAACTACTTAGTAAATAAGACTAAAAGAATTGACCTTGACCAGCAAAAGCAAGTCAAGCCGCAAAAAAATCACTAAAATTTAAAATACATTCACGTTTTCAATTTCTTCATGTAAAATTGTTCCTAAGTTTCTAGCAGTTTTTAGAAATTTTTAAGTCAATATTATCAAAGTTAATAAAACCTGTAAACGAATTAAAACAATTTTCTTATAAATTTCTAACCCAAATTAATGTTACAAATACTTGTCATTTAATTATTATTATTATTTATTTCTAAAGAAATTTCAGTTATTGGTTTTTTTTCTGTAAATTTGGAGTAATGATCCCCCTTTCCTCACGAAGGCTCCTAAAAATCAACAGTGGGTTTACACATAGAAACAAGTTTTGGGAACATTTATTTTTAATGTTTTTGTTTCACAGTCAATTGGCATGCTGTAACTGTTTCGCAAGAAGTGACAAATGTCATCCACACATCGATAGGAAGAATAGCAAGAATTTCAAAATGGAGGTGGGATAAAGTAACTTGAAATTCTTAGCACAAAACTCAATAATAACAATTAATATAATATTATCAGTTTTTGGCAAGATTTTTTATGAGTAAATTGTTAAGTTTCTTTTGAAGACGCTCCGCATGCAATTGAAAATTAGCAGTTTCTTTGTCAACATTAGACTTTATGTTGTCTATAGCCATCATCGTTTTGATTTTGAATTGTCGTATTTGTTCTTCTGACATTGTCTCTAATTCTGGTAAGAGACTTAATAAGAAATATCTCGTTGACTCGTTACTAGTCCTCGGAGGCTCAATCGTTGACATTGAACTATTCAATTCGGTATAAATTTCTTTTTGAGCAACTCTTTTATTCGCAACGCTGTATGTACTTTCTCTGTTCCTTCTCTTTTGAGGCAAAGAAATTGATTGGGACAGTAATGGATCGCTTTGAGTTTCATCATCAGACATCACTGTTGTATTGATGAATGATTGAGTGTCACACATTAATTGACACTCATCTTCTGATTTCACAGTACATAAATATATGTCCGGCTCCTTTGTTGTTGTTCTAAGCAAATTAAGCTCATCTTTGGCTTCAGGGTTGTTTATTGGTTTTAGAAATGGTATTACGAAATGTAAAAAGGGCATTAAGTAATACGGTTTTTTACTCTTTTCACTTGGCTTAAGGTTTCTCAGAAGTGAACTTCTGATATTTCTCCATTTTTCTTTACATTCAGCTACTGTAATAAAAATTGCGTATTACTTTAATGATTATTATAAATTCTATATTTGAATGTTCTCGCTTTATTGTTCTACTAAACGGTTTATTTGGTTGATATTAAATTTCAGTAAAAATTATGTAAGTATAAGCTTTAAAATTACCGACTAAACAGTACTATTGTCGTTATTTTTTAAGCATAACTTATTGTACATACTATCTCTAAAGCAATTATTTTATATTTATAATAATACTGATATTTTACAATAGTAATACGAGTAAAATAACATTTTTTTACAAAAAAAATCATTTATACACTTTTTATTTATACATATGTTAATTATAAGATAACATCAAGTTCGAGATGAGATTCCGATAAATCTTAATTTCTTAATATCAAAGTATAAAATGTAAAAGGTTTTAAATATTACTCCCTGAAATTTCAACATAAAAATGTACCACCCAAATTGACTTTTCGGCTCTAAATAAAACCTACCTGATAAATCAGTGCTATAGGAGACTTGTGCCCACGCCTCCTCTGTTAAATCTTTCCGATTATATTCCGGTAGGCTGCTATTGTATAAACACTCGTACTTTTCTATCTCCTGTACTAGTCGTATTTCAGACGACATGTCTATACAGAAACTCGACACAGTTGGAGCATGCGAATAGCAGACAACGTACATGCAGACTATTGACCGCGCCGCAACATTGCCGCGCCCTCCCCGCTTTCGTCCCGCGTTCGCCCCGCTTAGCTCTTACATTGACGATGTGCGCACCTGTACTATCTTATATCTATAGGATCTATGATTTTGAGTCTCGTTACATTTTATATTATATGTATATACGTATATATGTATACAGTTTCAGTATATTATATAGATTGTTTGGAGTGAAAAACGATAAAATTATTTCTCTTTTATAAGGTATAATAGAAGGTTATAAGGTTTCAAGTATCATTGCTTTTTTCACTTAAATGCATTTAAAACAGTTATAAGTTTTGTTTAACTACAGATTCACTTTTTCAAAGGCAGCAGACGTAATTTACGCATATGTGTGAAATATTTAAAAAAATGTATGTATAAATATTTAAAACCATGTATGTAAAGTGGTTTGTATTTATCCAAAAGAACCTTTAAATGAAACCTGTAAAAAGTTAGTTTATAAACTAACGCCACCTGATAAATTGTGGTGAATGCAACAGTCAGTTAATTCCCAAACATAGTTCTGCATACTCCATAAAATGTATACTTTGAAAGTTTGTCATTTTACAATTTTTATTATTTTTTCTTAATTATCCTTGAACTTACCTGAAAAACACTTAACCTTTGTTAAAATATTAAGTACCTTTCAAAATGGATACTGAGGGTCAAACAATCATAGATATTTAATCCGTTAAGTTTTATTTTAGGCATATTTTTTAAATCCAAATTAGTTTTAACATTATTTTGGGACTTTCAAAAAGTCCAAAATCTTTTTTTTTCGAATAATCGTTGAATCCAATAAACCAATTTAAATTTTCAAAATTCATGATATTACTTAGGAAAACGATATATATTTGTTACAATATCCAAAATATCAGTATAAAATAAAAATGACAAATGGTGTATGTCAAAATCCCATATTTAATGTACAAACAGATAAGTTTTGGTGAGATTTTTTTAATTATCATGTTACTTTTACCTCTTTTATAAACTAACTTGAATTAAATAAACCTGAGTAATTAATAATAATCAAAATAATAGCCATACTTACAAATAACTTAAAAGCTTTTATTTACAATCATCATCAGTCCATTAGAGCACACAGCTGAGAAAAAGCCTCATCTCACATGGAGAAGGTTTGAACATTGATCGCCACGCTTGCTCAAGACGGGTTTGGAATTTAAACTTATAATTGTGAAGTTTTAAGTCCAGGTTTCCTCACGATAGTTTCCTTCACCGTCTGTCAGTGGTGTCTAAATACTATTGGAAAGTACATATGACTCGGAAAAACCACATTGGTACTTGCCAGGTTTCGAACCTTCGCCCCCATGCACGAGAAGCCGGCCTTTAATCTCTAGGCCACAACGACGTTTAAAATATAATAATCACAAATATTTTTATATTCAGACGATATAATAATATTTGTGACAACAATAACATAAGTATTCAATTATTTGATAAGAATAATGAAACCACATTATTTCCTCGTTAACATGTTTCCCAAAAACTTTTCGGATGATAAAAACATTTTAGAAAATAAATACAACATATATATGTATATAGTGATATTTCTATTGTTTATATATACATCACTTCTATTCTAACAAAGGCTGTAACTTGTATAGACGACAGTGGAACATCTGCCTTTTCTGTTCACAGATACACATGTCGCTTGTCCATTTCAATGTCGTTTTTCCTGCGTTATTTTGTTTATTAGGGTGACAAAAAAAATAAAAATTAAGTGAATTTATTAATAAAGAGCGTTTTAATTGTGTCAAAATAATAAAGATATGTATAATATATTCCGTATTTTCTCTTAATTTCACACGATACGTTAACAATCAACAAAACTTAAGTGCCTTAACTTTGCCAAGTATTTAAATTTAATGCAGGTATAATACGTGTAGGTACTGTAGTAGATATAAATGAAAATTATTTTCAGCAACATTATAAACGTCTTCTGCACTTTATTGAGACATAAGAAAACTCTGTCTTATTCTATTATCTTATACTAACAACCTAGTCACAGCGTCATTAAAGTGTAGATGTGTTCAGTTTATACATTGAAGGAGCGTTAATTGGCGACAGATTGCCACTAACAAGTAGAATGAGAGACTCGCGTCAGCCGTATGAAATTACAAAACTTCATGAGATTGTATAAATTTGTTTGTGACTACTATTATAATCAATCATCATGCTTAAAACAATCTTATACAATAGATTCTTGGTATATTTTTTTAATAAAAGTCAGTTGAACTTTTTCCTCAAATGAAAATTATTACAACGCTGTCAGCCGTTTGTGATTACAAGACTATGTACTACAAAAAGAACGAAGTATTTACTAAACAACTCATTTTATTTTGATAGAACATTTTCAGTTCGAAAGGGAATAAAATATTACAATTGAAATCAAGTATTTTCTGTCATGAAATTTAAGATAATCTGACATATTTAGATTTAGTTGCTTTTTTCAGCCCAAAAAAAAAGAACTACTTATTATTTGTATTTAGTAGCTACCCAACTCATGTCTGTGGGTATAGTTTTAGGTGTTATCATCCTAAACACGTTTATATGTTCTTTTTAAGTACATTTCTTTATTCTACCGCCGTTATATTTACATTTTGCATTTAACTTTTAAATCTAAACAATATACAGATTTCAAATAACTAAATGAAATGTTGAAAATTATTTATAAGGTAAATTTTGTATTATAATTAGTCATTATAGTCATACGGTAACTCTAATATCTCTTTCCAGTAGACAAAGAAATAGACTGCAGGTTAGTCATTTACCCTTTGAGACTTCTGTTATATTATCTATTAATTTACATCGTTTCAATAAATGTATATACAACTTTCTTAATATGAGCATTTAAAAATAATTTTAATTCATTAGTTTTTTCAGTACTAGTTAAGGATTGCAAATACCTATACGTTGGATAAACAAATGTTACAAAACACTTAACATCATAAAGTTATGATAAACGTCTTGTAAATACAAGTTAATTGTTATTTTACAATACATTAAAGAAAAAGTTTTATTGAACTTCATAAAAAGATACTTTTAATTTTTTTTAAAAAATTACACAATCTTTCAGGGAATATGATAATTTGAACTTGTTCTTATTAGAAAATTATTATTATTATACCCCAACGTCGGCAGATTAAGTTCTAAAACTCAAGAAATATGTTTTTATAGAACTGATAGCCAAAACGATTAAATCTTTAGATTTTTGTTATTACCATTATATACATTTTAACTTTAAATACTGGTTATTTTAAACTTTTGTATTGTTGTGTTAACTACTCTTTGACAATATTTATTATTATTCTTTAAGAGATTTCACATGATTTAACCTAAGTAATTATCTTGTTTAATGAAGTGACAAAAGTATTTATTCTGATGATTATAGCATCAGTATAAATACTTTTGTTGTTCTTACGTGATAATAATGATAGAATAATTATGACAACAGATTTACTACCTATCCAAATAATAGCTGAAGAAGTAAACATATATATTTTCTGCTACCTTTAGAAGCGAGCTTTGTAGCTTCTTAAATTGTTCAAAGGTATGAAGCTCTAATTGGTCGTCATATAATTATTTAAATTTAAGTTTTCAAAAAACCTGTTATGATTTGCTTTCATTAAAAATTAATCCGTTAACAAATAGAGAACGCTTCAAAAATACCTTGTTTAAACTTGTAATTAAGGTGGACGGTTTTAAGTACAAAGCTAAAGAAATATGGTTTTAGTAGAACTGAGAGAAAAAGCTTTACAAATCCCCAGTTTCTTTTTATTACGTTCAATTTTGTTTTGAGGTCAAATACCGAGTATAATTAAAATTTGCGAAGTTTTCTGTAGAGTAAAGAAGCAGTAATTATTTTGTATGACATTCCAGATGTTATATTCAGTCAGTGTGTGTGTGTGTGTGTGTGTTAAAGCCAGTAGTGGCCTAGTGGTTAAAAGGCCCGCCTCTCATGCTTGAGGGAACGGGTTCGGTCCCTGGCAAGTACCAATGTCATTTTTCCGGGTCATATGTGCTTTTGTGAGTGTATTAATTAGACATCACTGATTAATGCATTCCCAAAGAGGGTTGATGAAAGGCAGGCGGCCGGTCGTAAAGACAATTAGCAAAAACTATTCACCACATATAAGGCAGACACTGGGTAAAAGCTGGGAAATTGCCAGGAAGAAGAAGATTCGAGATGTTATATTCATTTAATAAATATAAGATTATAAACAGAAAAATCTATATTATTTAATGTGATATGCAAGTAATCAAAATATATATTATCAAACCAGTCAAACTATCCATCCAAAAGTCAATGCACGTCCATATTACGGCATTACATTAACGACAGATTCGGGACTCACTTCGTTTTTCGTCACGTCTCTGTTACGAGAGGACCCTTCTCCTGTTCTGACGTTTTTAGTGTACTTCAGTATTTATTTTAGTGACGTTTAAGACACAACATGTAAATTAAAGGCATTTGGGCATATTTTTATATTTTTTTAAAGACGAAAATTTTCAGTATTCAATGGAATCACTGTGTGCGGGTGCCGGGTCCATTGTTGCAGGGCGAGTAGTAAATAAAAAAAAACAGTGCCTGGGACTTGTGTCCCAGGTGTAGGTTCAATGGCTCTCTATCTAACCCACATTTCATTCTTTGCGTGTAACTATGTGTTTCGTTTCAACCGATTAATTCACAACACTAATTTGAAATTTATTGCTTCTGATGTCTGTTTTTAGTCAGAGCAAATGTTAGAGCACAAGAAAACAATTCTTGCCTTCATACGAATAACCCTAAAAATATTTCTCCAAGCACTGTGGTTTATATTTAAATTGAAATTTTTATCTCGTCATATTTTGCTTTTTGTAACGTTTGTTGTAAATCTAACATTTCCTTTTAGAATGTTAAGGAAAATATCTGTTTATAAAATGCTCAAATATAATTTTAAAACAATTTAGCTTTGTATTAA